CAAACATTGCATATTAATCCTGGTTTAAACAGTTGTTGTTATTATTGTGAAATATTCAATATTGTTATATTTTTGTAATAAAAGTTTAATATATAAAAAAATATTAATAGAAACTTAATGAATGGGATTTAGGAAGCTGGAAATCCTGAACGTCTTATTGTAAATGGAAACATTGTTAGTTCTCTGATACACATAGATACATACAGATGACACTACATCTCTCATTGTCATTACAGAAGGCTACAATGGTAACATTGGTTATCGAGTTATGGTCATTTCTCTGAGCGTAAACGTAAAGGGAAAATATATCTGAACACAATTAGATATGAAACATGATGAAAAGGGGTCATGGAAAATAGAAATTTTTAAACTGTTATCATATCAGGAATTACATGCAGATTCCAAAAATCAAAACCTAAGAAAATCGACCTCTAAAGCCTATTTTATACTTTTTGCATATGTTGAACTGAGAAAACTGTGGCACTTCTGGTTTTGCAAAAATCTTCCAATTTATGTTCATTAACAACGTCATTATCAAAGTACCACAAAAAAAAGAATAGACATTTCGAAAACAAACAATAATACATGATGAAAAGGGGTCATGGGAAATAGAATCGTATTAAACAGACTTATTACAATCGTTCCCAAATGTCATCTTCCAATAATTTGAGCCCAGTTTTCATCCACACAGACCCGTGGTTTGATTGTTCGGGGTGCAAGTAATATCGATTTCTATGATTATTTTCACATTTTATTAGAAATAAATACAAATATTAAATAACAATAAATATAACAACTGTAATTTATAATCTAATAAATATAACAACTGTAATTTATAATCTAATAAATATAACGTAGTTTTGGCATCTTCGGGACTTTATCATCAATTATAAACCAAAAGCTCTTTTAGAATCTGAAAATAAACAAAGGTGAAAGATTAAGAGAGGTGTGGCGCGTTTCAGCTGTCAATATTTTGTCAATGGCGGATTTAGATTTCCAAACCCGTTCAAAATCCGTCTGAGGGGCTGAAAGGATTTTTTAGTCAAGCTGTAGGGGATAAGGACGATAATTAAAGGTTCCATATTTTGTCAATGATCTCCTGTGAGGGTCTGCTGGTTCGTTATA